TCCATCCACATGACAGAGAGGGGAACCCTTTAATGTTTTTAATACAGAGTAGAGTTTAATTCAGTGTTTTATGTCCTGTTTGAAACACCTGTTGAAGGCAGATGTATAAAGGTAAATCAGTTCTGATCCACTCAGGATGACTTAATGAAACTTCATACCTGTGTGCTTCATCAGCAGCAGCACCTCAGCTTCAGGGTCAAAGGTTACACAGGTCCTTCTGTAGATTGCTGTAAGACACTTTGTCTCTGGGTCGTATGATTGACAGCTTGTCCTCCTGTTTCAGTTCCATGCTATGGACACGTTGCAGAAGAACGGCTATGACCTGGCCAAAGCCATGTCCACCCTGGTGCCCCAGGGGGGCCCCGTGCTGTGCCGTGACGAGATGGAGGAGTGGAGCGCCTCGGAGGCCATGCTGTTTGAGGAGGCTCTGGAGAAATACGGCAAAGACTTTAACGACATCCGCCAGGACTTTGTGAGCTTTCCTTTTTATTTAAAGCATGTTTGATGTTCAGAGTTGTGTCAGCTTCTAAACCTGCAGTAGACTGCTGCTGCTGCTGCTTCAGTGGAGAACCTGTCATACTCTGCTGAACAATTAGTTTGTCCACATATATTCTCTTCTTTTAATGTGTTAATGTATTATTGTCAGAAAACACTTAATATTATGCTGTGGCTTCTCATCTGCTTCTAACTCTGGCCTACAGTCAGACATTTCTTTCTGTCAAATACTTTCAAATTATTACACTTTGGTGGGATTAGGATTACATCTCAAACTGTTTGAAATTGGTATTTAAAACGAAAAAAGAACAACTAGTCAGAGTCAGCTTTAATTATGTGTTTATAGATCAGAAGTGTCATGATTAAATGCATTAACGTGTGCGTTCATATATAAAATTTTATCACCTACTGTAACTTAAACTTTACTGATTGTTTACATCTGATAACTTCAGACAAATCAGTATATAGTGAGTGACAAGTAATTTTAATGATGTAATGTATCATGTGTTTTTATTGTGTCTTAGGTTACGAATGATAAAGACTGTAATATATGTGTGTATATATATATATATACACACAGAAATCAAGAATGAACACATTCATATGAAATGCATGTTCAGCAAAATGTATGGAAGCACTTTCAATAAACTAACTCCTCTAGACAAGTTGTGATGTCACAATATGCCACAGTAACATGGTGATGTGTTTCACTAATGCCTGATGCTAAAGTTAGCTCGTTCACTTCAAGACAGCATCAACTTTACCTTGAGTTCAGCAGACAGTGATGGGTGGTCCTCCTGTAGATGGGCTGTCATGTTGGATGTKTTGCCTCCTCTAGCTGCAACCATGGTTTGCACAGAGGGCAAACTTCTTTTTACAGTAGCTGACATGTTCCCATGTAGCTGACTTTATTCTTTTAGACGAGGGCTGGGACSTTGGTTGAACTCCCCTCCTACATTCTTCATACAACCTGCAGAGCTGGCAGCTGTGTACGAGGGCTGTTTGACCTCCTCTTTAGGGCTGCACAGTATATGGAAAATGATCCTCATCCTCATAACAGCTTGTGCAATACACATATCACAAAAAACTGCATCAACTGCAATAAATGGCTCAAAAGTTTGCATTTATGAGTTCTGTCACTCAGACAGAAGCTTGAAGTTTTTTACCAAACAAATGGAGCCCTTCATGTATTTGACCAGTTGGATGGATTCTCTTCATGTTTTTAATTTATGCTGAAAAGGAAATGATTAGTTTTGTTGTTATTTTTGCTCTGAACCCAGAACAGACATCAACCCTACATACATGTATTTGTTCTTTTATGACAAGTCGTATGATTATCACAATATTAAACACTGGTTACACACATCRCAGGTTTTCCTAACATCATGCAGCCCTGGTGAACTGTCTCTCTGACAAGACATTAGAAACTGTTCACACTGCTGGAAAACTTCAGCTGTTTTGAAACTGTGACTTTTATAAACTCACAGTATATCATGAAACCAGTGTCTGACCCAGCCTCACTGAACCCTGAAACTCTGAGTGAACTTCCTGAGAGGAATCAAACTGAGTGTGGCTAACGAGTTTAATGAACTCTGAGTATCTTCACCTGGAGTTAGCCATGTGTGCACACACAATACAACAACACAATCACTTCAGGCTTTTATGTGGTTTGTCATTTCACTGTGGTCCAAGCCTTCCACCTGCTGAATGAAGATAAACCAGTAAATCAGTTTAGTAAGAAYCTTCTCTCTGTCCTCCAGCTGCCCTGGAAGTCTCTGGCCAGCGTGGTCCAGTTCTACTACATGTGGAAGACTACTGACCGCTACATTCAACAGGTTGCACAACATCCCTGTGAACACAGCTGTGTTTGTTCCTCAGATTGTGTAGTGAGATGTTTTGTGTTGCTTACAGAAACGGCTGAAAGCGGCTGAAGCTGACAGTAAGCTGAAACAGGTCTACATCCCCACCTAGTGAGTAGCTGCTGCTGCTGCACACACACATGCTCCCAGCTACAGCACCTCCAGAATAACTCCTGTTTATTCTTCCCCAGCACCAAACCCAACCCCAACCAGATCCTGGGTCCAGGCAGCAAGCCAGGAGTGAACGGAGCAGCAGGTTTTCAGAAAGGGCTGAGCTGTGAGAGCTGCCACAGTAAGTTCTGCTTCCTGTCCTCAGCTGTTGTGAACAACCTGTAGAGTGATGCTTTCACACTGACTCAGCTGTTTGTCACGCAGCGGCCCAGTCTCCTCAGTGGTACGCCTGGGGTCCTCCTAACATGCAGTGCAGACTGTGTGCTTCCTGTTGGATCTACTGGAAGAAGTATGGTGGTCTGAAGACGCCCACACAGCTGGAGGGGGCAGCGAGAGCCGGCTCTGTAGGTCCAAACTGCTGCTTGAACCTGGCTGCAGGTGCTTTCCAGACGTTTTCATTTTGTCTGCACGTGTGTTCAGGAGGCGGGCCCCCGCGCTCACATGACACGACAGGAGGTCCAGGGCATGTCGCCGTTCACCCGCAACGAGGGGCGGGCCAAGCTGCTGGCCAAGAACCGGCAGACCTTCATTCTGCAGACCACCAAGCTGACCCGCGTGGCCAGGCGCGTGTGTGAGGACATCCTGCAGCCGCGACGTGCCGCGCGCAGACCCTACGCTTCCATCAACGCCAACGCCGTCAAAGCTGAGTGTGAGTCCGGCCTCGGCCCGGTTCTGATGAGGTCCAGCTGTTAGAGCTGTTCTCTGATCATGTTTACGTTATGTGTGCAGGTATGATCAGGCTGCCCAAAGCCACCAAAACTCCTGTAAAGAGCAAGCTGATACCTCGACAGTCTCTGGCTGCCATCGTGAAGGATTTAGGTGAGTCCCAGAGCAGCACGCCAGATTTATTACCTTTATTCATCTGTTTCTCTGCTTCACAAACACATTTACAGCACAAATATTACTGAGTGTAGGCCCTAAACACAACCTGATGACTGTAAAACGAATAGACATGTCCCGACAGCTTTTTCACTTCTGATACCGTACAGATACTGCAGCCCCAAGTATCACAGCCCTAAGTATCAGATACCGCTAGGGATGGGTACCTTTGACATTTCAATCGATTCGGTACCTATCTCCGGTACCTGGGAATTGGTACCGGTACTTAACAGTACCAGTTTTCTGTACTTTGTGWGTGTGTTTTTTTTAAATAATAAACTTTTATTATTATTTTTTATTTAACATATTTCTCAATATATAAAAATTAAAAAAATATCAAGACAACATCCAACTCTTTGTATTGTAACGTCAGTTGTGTAACTTTTTCTTTAAATTGAAAACTGTTGAAAACAACAAGACTGTTTTGTCTTATTACACAAATTAAAATCCAGCTCCACGTTAAAATCCAGCTCCACGTGTTTCTATTGATGTCATTTCCCCACTAGAAACATTGGGCCTCATGCAAGAACCGTTCGTACGCACAGATTTGTTCTTAAATTGTGCGTACGAGTGATTTAGGAG